CTAATCAAACTTTCCCAATGAGAACACATCAGATCGGCAGAGAACTCATACTTATACACTTTAGAAATTTTGAAAAAAAAAAAAAAAAAACATTACTGCAATAGAAAATACAAATTATGAAATTACAATGAAAGAATACAGCCTCACTCATAAATGAGGAAAGGCTTTATTAAAATATTAACAAACGACACAGTCACATAATGGGTTACCTGCCATTCCAGTTTAAACTCCAAACATTTTCTAAAATGTAAAATTTTAATAATGTCTTTTGAGATAATGTCTAAAACAGCATGTATATATATATATATATATATATATATATTATATATATATATATATATATATATATATATATATATAATATATATATATATATATATATAATATATATATATAATATATATATATATATATATATATATATATATATATATATATATATATATAAACACACACAAATTACAGAAAAAAGTTGTGACATTGTTGACATATGAGCAGATATAATTTACTGTGTGTCTTTTGTCCATTTTTGTTTCTACATTCATACTTTAAAATGTCGGTTGGTTAAGTTGTGGTTTACTACCAGACTATGCTGTCAGTGCATTTAGGCCCAACACATCCAATTTCAGCAAACCCCTAATTAATGCATATTAACTGTTGCATTTCATGACATGCTTGTTCAAGTGCAGCAGGTGTATTCCCTGACAACTGTGGTGTATTCCCTCACAGCTGTGTCATATTCCCTCACAGCTGTGGTGTATTCCCTCACAGCTGTGGTGTATTCACTCACAGCTGTGGTGTATTCCCTGACAGCTATGGTGTATTCCCTGACAGCTGTGGTGTATTCCCTGACAGCTGTGGTGTATTCCCTGACAGCTATGGTGTATTCCCTGACAGCTATGGTGTATTCCCTGACAGCTGTGGTGTATTCCCTGACAGCTGTGGTGTATTCCCTGACAGCTATGGTGTATTCCCTGACAGCTATGGTGTATTCCCTGACAGCTGTGGTGTATTCCCTGACAGCTGTAGTGTATTCTCTCACAATTATGTGTATTCCCTCACAACAGTGGTGTATTCCCTCACAACTGTGGTGTGTTCCCTCACAACTGTGGTGTATTCTCTCACAATTATGTGTATTCCCTCATGAGTGTGGTGTATTTCCTCATAACTGTGGTGTATTCCCTCATAACTGTGGTGTATTTCCTCACAACTGTGGTGTATTCTCTCATAACTGTGGTTTATTCTCTCATAACGGTTGTGTATTCCCTCATAACTGTGGTGTACTTCCTCATAACTGTGGTGTATTCTCTCACAACTGTAGTGTATTCTCTCACAATTATGTGTATTCTCTCACAACTGTGGTGTATTCCCTCACATCTGTAGTGTATTCTCTCACAATTATGTGTTATATCTCACAACTGTGGTGTATTCCGTCATAACTGTGGTGTATTCCCTCACAACTGTGGTGTATTTTCTCACAGCTGTGGTGTATTTCCTCATAATTGTGGTGTATTCCCTCACAACTGTGGCACTCTCTCTGTCTTTCTGTGTGTATATATATATATATATATATATATATATATATATATATATGTCTGCCTGCATGTGTGTATACACATCTGCAGTTATGGGTGTCTTTTTTTTTAAGCAATTCACAAAACGAACTTCACTTGTGTGTAAAAGTGTGCACCTTAATAAAGACAAATACAACTAACTCAGTTTATCAGATTTACAAAAATATGGAGTGACTTCTTATTAAGAAAACAATTATTTACAATTCTATATAGAGAAACCCAGATTAAAAATATAACATATACGATAATAAACAATCAAAGGTGGGACTGTGCAGGGCCTGGATATTTGTTCACCTGTTTGTACATTTGTCCATTCATCTCAAATTTATAGGGTTTTTTGTTTTATTCCAGCACTCTAGACTTCATCAACACCGTCCTCTGTGCCTATCCAGAAGACTGTCAATCAGTGTTTCTTTTTCACAGAAAGCCTTTTATCCCAAAAGCAAAACAAAATCACGAATTGATTAATTAAAAACTGCACAAAAACTTTCAAGCAGTTATTGCGGCTTGACGTGACAAAAGAGGAAGAAAGACATGATAAGAAGAAGAGGAAGAATTTAAGAACTGGCCATAGCAAACTCAGACACCAACTATTGAAAACATACAACGTATTCTTCTGCATTCACTCTTAAAAGGGTAGCTGGCACATTATTTATATTGTGGTTTACAGCTAAGCTGTGATATCTGCCCCTTTTGGCTCAACACATCTGACTTCAGCAAATCCTGAAATAGTCACTTTTTATGAAATTCTTATTAAGCAGCAACAGAAGCAGTCAGTTACTTTTCCCCCCAAAAAGTATACCCCTAAACCCACAGGGAAAACAGAAAAACATGTCATCTTCATGGGGAGTTGGCAACACATTTCTGGAAAAATAGTCCTTAAAAATATGAGCCGAATAGGCGTGCAAAAGGGCAAATAAGACCTTTAACAGCATCACTGTCTAAAACTTTAGGCCGACAGGGAAAATGTAACACTGACCACCAATTTGATTTGAGAGGTAGATTTGCTTTACATGGATGGGGTAAGACAAGAGAACTGACATGATCTATGATTCTGGTGATCAAAAAGAATGGTGAGCCATGGCCCCACATGATTATCAGCATGGCAGATGATGATAATATTTTGTTATTTAAGAGCAAAAGTAAGCGAAAACTGAAAAAACGTACTGTAAAGTATTTAATGTTCTATTCACCTATGGAGTAAAATTTAACAAACTGTACATTTTATAAAATCTATACTGGCATAAAATAACTTGTAATTCAATGTTTCCCTAAAATTAAAACTACAAGAATTCAATTAATACAATTTAGTTGATTTTTTAGAGCAACACAAAATCCACCACAAAGAAGTACAAGCAGTGACAATAACACATTTAAGAGAAAAGAGGCAAGTCACTAGCTCTGCATCACAGAATCATAAAATAAGTCAAACGCAATAATAAAAATGATTTTTCTCTTGTGACTTTTAAAAAAACATACTGTGAAAACAATGCATTCTAGCATCAAAGCTTGATAACATACAATAAAATGCAATTATTTAACAATGGCTGAAAGAGCTAACGGAAACAGACTGACTAGTAAAGTATATGGAAACAAACATAATTCAGTCAAAATGACATGGAGAAACTGGAAATAAGACTGCAAGCTCTGGAAATTAGGTGAATGAAGATAAAATAAGAAAAAAAAAAAGTAAAGGAATGCCGTGTAGGCATCACAAGGTCTTAAAATAGAATAAGGTAAGTTAAAGTAAAGTAAAACAAGGCGCGGAAAAAGTACACTAAATGTAAAGTAAGGCAGGTAAAGCAAGGTACAATGAAGTAAGGTAAAGCAAAGTACAGTAAAACAAAGTGATGTGAAGCGAGGTATGGTAAAGTAAAGTCAGGTAAAGCAAGGTACAGTAAAGTAAAGTAAGGAATGGCAAAGTAAAGTTTAAAAAAAAAAAGGTGAAGTAAAATAAGCTAAAGTTAAGTAATGCAAATTGAGGTAAAGGACCTTTTTCATGTCATCAGTGATCGGGTTTATGGTGTTAGACCTATGAATGTATAATTACAATACACAAGACGTTCATGCAAATATTGTACAATCACAAATACAAGAGTTGGTAATGTAAACATCACATAATCACACTTAAGAGGTTGATGTTAACATCATGCAATCACAATACATGAGGGTGTTAATGCAATGTAAACATCACATGAGTAAACACTAATCTAAAAATGTCTCCAGTGTGGGTTCTGGGGCCCCATTGTGAAAAAGGGGGGGCGGGGGTTGTGGGGAAGCAAGAGCAGACCTGCTGCCTCCCCAAAAAGCAAGTTATAAGAGTCAACTAACTGGGAGCTTCCTTTGAAGTATAAGTGCCTCTGCCTGAGAGGCCAGGAACCAACAGTCTGCATATAAATAAATCATGTCTGTAAGGTGGTTGTGCATGCAACACTCACAATCTTGAACAAGACAAAGAGGTGGATGAACAACTAGAACAATCTGTCGGAGTTTACAGACAGTGAATATGAAGAAGAACTAGATCTAAACAACTTACAACCACAGTACATGAGTGGCTGATGAAAACAAAACACAAGTGAAATACATAAAAGGTTAATACAAACACACAATCACAATAAATGAAGCTTGATTTAAACATCACACAATACATGACAGCTTAATATAAACATCATACAATCACAATACATGACAGCTTGATTAATACATCACACAATACATGACAGCTTGATACAAACACTATACAATCACAATACATAAAAGCTTGATACAAGCATGACACAATACACGACAGCTTGATACAAATATCACGCAATACATGACAGCTTAATACAAGCATGACATAATACATGAAAGCTTGATACAAATACCACACAATACATGACAGCTTAATACAAGCATGACATAATACATGAAAGCTTGATACAAATACCACACAATACATGACAGCTTGATACAAACATCACACAACTATAATACATGATGGCTTGATACAAACATCACACAACCACAATACATGACATATTCAGACAATCGACTTACAACCACAACACATGACAGCTATATACAAACATCAGACAACCACAATAAATAACAGCTGGATACAAACATCACACAATCACAATACACAATTGGTTGATGACAAACATGACAGGTTAAAACAAATATCTCACAATCGCAATAAACTTGATTCCCATTTTAGTCACTGAACACTGATGCACCTGTCTACAGCACAGCCAAACTGCTTTTAAGTACTTAGCAGAAGATACCTAAGAAGCTATTGTCATTTCAACCGATCCTTTTCATCAAGAATCATATTATCTTTTTCATCAGGGAAAGAAACAGTGTCAACATTTTGATCTGATGCCGGGTTAAAAACAACTTTACTATTTGATTCTTGCTCGAGTGTTACACCTGGTTTAGTCTCAATTACAACTGCATCCTGTTCTTTGATTTCTTGAGAATGTTCCAGACTATGAGCACTCCAATTTGCCCAGCCTTGTGTTGAGCTTCTCTTGGTATGTTCTGTTGTTGTTCCGGCGTTATAAATGTATGGATACCATATGGCTTCAAGTGATAGATAAGATACTCCAGTACATACATCATATTTGGGGGAACATAATGGAATGTTATGGCGTAATCACTGCAACATTCTTGCCCCTGTGAATATAAAATATGGAACACTTTAGCTTGTAGGGTAAATAAATATAAAACAACAAAAACTAAAACGTATGTCATTAAAAAATATATGTCTCAGTTAGTAGTTTAAAATTACAGACTGCCAAATGAGGTAAATGAATATATTAGAGTATTTCAGAAAGTACAATAATCATGCCAATGTCTTGTAATCTGTCAATACTGTTGTTAAGGATGTCAAGAGTGTTAAGCATATAATATCATGGTGTAGATTAACACAATGACAAATTAAAGATGACTGCCCCACTTTTGACATGCAACACAGGAGCAGTGTTTTGCTATCCCTTTTTTTTTTAAAATCTACTGAAGGGGTGAAACCTACAGAAATGCATCAGCAAATGAAGATCTAGTATGGTGATGCATGCCTGTCAGTTCAGCAAGTGTGTGAGTCATAAAGGAAAGTTTCAAAACATTGTGACTTCTGTGACAGACTGCTCACGACCGTTTCAGGCTCACCAAGAAGTGACCACAGAGTCGATGCAGCCGAGATGGTAAGAAAGGGACCCATCACCCGATCTCATTATCTAGTGATCTGTACATGTATAGACTAACAATTAACCCCTCTAATGCAGAATTTGTCATGGGATTACCTCTACTGGAACAGAAACAAATAACAATCTCTTTAACTGTGCGACTCCCATGCTATTGTACGAAAACCCCCACAAAAAGCAGCTGTTTTCTAAATAAACGTCCGCCACAGAAATCAACCCCTGGCACTCGAGGATGGTAAAATTTTTGTATGCATTCACTAACCTCAAAGCACACAGCCGCATTCACTACTGTTACATGAATCAGTTTCCCTTAATGAATTGATTTATCAGACAAATATTATGTATTATATTGTGTTATATGCCTAACGGCGCTGCCCGGGCAAAATCTGCAGTTAAAAATTGACCCAAAGTATTTCAGGATCCTCGCCTGTGCAAATGAGTTTGCGCACTGTGCTAAGATCCTTGGCACTCAGTCTTGAGTTCAAAGTAGAACGAAGCACTTGTGGGTTACACCCGTGTGCCATGGTGTTGATACGTTAATAAACATAAATGTTATAGGCAAGTGCACTTATTATTAAGACATCTAAGCTTAACTATGAGTGCAGAGACAGATTATAAACAGCATATTCATTCCAACATTAAGCTACCAGTGCTAAACATGGATGCTATCTAAAGCCAATATACGCAAAATCACCAACTGCCAAATAAGATGCCTGAGAAAAGCAGCTAATCTAACCATTTGAGATTGAGTGAATAATGATACTGTCAGACAAATTGTGGGAACAACACAATGTACTAGATTCACCGAGAAACAGTAGATCAAGCGGTTTGGCCATCTCGTTGGAATGCAGCAAGATCAAATACCATCACAAGCACTACATCTCAGAAGATCAGCTACAAGAGCAAGAGGATGGCCACGGAAAAAAAGGATCGACAACATTAAAGACACTCTACGCCTTTACGGCATGACAACAGCCATTGGCAGTCAGCTTGCACTGGATCGCAAATTATTCCTCCCCACAACGCTCAACAGCAGAAGAGGTTAATGATGATGATGATAATGATGATAAACATTATATGCAAGAATAAATGTTTTTTGATTGAAAATCTCACCTGTTTTGCTGGATAGTAGTTGTATGACCAGTACCACATGTCCTTAGGAAGTATGTCTGGTATCAAGTGATGCTCCGGAATAAAAGGATGAAACCTTTCCCTGCCAAGCTCATCTCTTGTATCTCCTGCCTCCACCCCAACATTATGAAGACATTTTCCCATCTCCACATCTTCAGCACCACCACCATCACCTCTGCACTTACCACTATCTTCGAATCCTTGCTTCACCAAGCGTTTAACAGCCTCTTTGCTGAGCACATACCCAGCACCACCGCTCATGTATCCTGTTGGCACCACCGCTTTAAACTTGCGACCAAAGTACACCGGCTGTGTTGGTGAGATATCATGAAGGAAGTAGCGAAGATTTTCGACTACAGTGTAAGTGTCATCATCAGCTTTCAAAAACCAGTCTGCGTCATTCAGGTGATGGTCATAGATGTATTTTAAAGCAGCTTTGGTCTTTGCCCACAAGTTGTCTCTTCCTTCCTATCAACAACAAAAAACTGTACTTTAATAACACTAATCTCTGGGTGGGTTCCGGAAACCGAGTTTGGGAGAAACATAGAATAGACCCACTGCGCCTTAGCAAGCAGGTTGCAAAAGATGGTTAATTAAAAATGGTTAATTACCTGTTTGCTGAAATCAGATATGCTGGGTCAAAAGCTGTAGCCTAGGTGTAAACCACAACACAATATCCCAATAACCCTGTTAAAGGCAAATGTAGAAGAAGAAGAAGAAAAAGAAGAAGAAGAAGAAGAAGAAGAAGAAGCTAAACAGTGAAACTTTATAACCCTCTGTTTATTTATAGGAATGACGTATACACACCGGAACCTACGAATCAAATACCTTTCTTAAATGTTTATGTATTCTAGACAACGCAATAAGGTCTACTGTGTTGGTAAATTGTTGCTGTGATTGTTATTTGACATTTGCTTCGTTAATATAAATTTCTGTAACCTTTGGTGCCATTTCAATGGGTTGAAATGAATTCTGTCCGTATTCCATAGTTGTGGACTTCAAGTTGTACGATAGACATGGCCAATAAGACACCTTTTTTGGGGGGTGCCTAGTTGACCATGTTCTTAGTGCACTTGTATTCATGGCGAGGCGCAGACGCCGTCTGGAGGTGACAGGTTCAATTCCTGGCACGGTAACTATAGCTTTCTATTTTTATGTTGTCTAGTGTGTTCTTCTATCTTTCTACTTCTTTCTATGAGTGCCGATCATTACACTTTCTGCTACTTGATTAATTCATAATATTTAACGGCCTAAAAGGTTCCCCCTCTGTTTATTTATGAGATTCCTAAGAAGCCCACTCAACACAACAAGATGAGAGAAGATCAGAATTGTTGATCCGGACAAAAATGTATGGTAGTAGCAGCACTAGATTTAATTTTTAAAAGGTTGTTCGCTACAGAACTTTACATCCAGATAAACAGTATACCATAGCAAGCAGTGATGTACAGACCAAGTAGTAATTTTTAAAAAAAAAATCCTGTTGACGAACGGAATAACAGTCCAGGGGAATTCCTTATTATTTGATGCACACAATCAGCACTCTCCTGCAATTTATACTTAACCTCTACACCAAAATGTACAACAAAAAAGTCAAGATGAGTTGAAAAATTCTTTTAATGGACAGATCTGAAAGTAGCAGTTCTGAAAGAAGGTGGCAATGATACAAGTGGGAAGATAACACTGAGAGGTGAATAAACAGCAGTCTGCATGAGTGTCAAGGCAAGAGGCAGAAAGTCTTGGAGATCCATTGTCACTAATTAAAAAAATAAAAAGTGAGTTGCGTCAAAACGAAGTCAGGCCCAGGACACATTTATGCGTATTAACCTTTGAGACATGTTAGTCTAAGTTGCAGGGGTGTCAGTTTGTGGTGAGGTTGTATTGTGTCAATGGTCTCTCTATATTACAGGATGTGAGCGGTTTCGACAACTCCATAACATATACAACTGGCCCTAACCCTAAACACCCTCCCCCCCACACACACACACTGAGCCTAGGTCCCATGAGAGAGTGCACTTGACGCCCAGTGGTTTCAGACTTCTTAACAAAATGCTGTGGTGCGCCAGAAACACAATGGTACCCTCATCGTCACCCGCCAATGTTGACAGCTGAATTAAACTCCTCTCCTACTTAAAATCTCAGAGGCTATCATATACTCACCAAGAAACACTAATTCTGCTTACGAGTCAAAACACAATGTCGGTGGGTGCTGCTCAAAGAACAAGGATTAATATGCCACGCAAATTTTGTCAAGAGAAAAGTACACTGGGACACCCCTCTAGCTTAGACCAGCCCAAGCAAGCATCAATGAAAGGTCAGCTAGTGTGTAGTTGGGCCCGAGTTTGTTACCTGTTCCTACTGTCTCAATAAGTTTCCAGATAAAACAAAGTTAAAGGTGTGTTGACATGCTAAATAAAAATTTACATATTTGTGTGACCATCGAAGTCCTGGACCTGCGGGTTGCTCCTTGCTGGTCTGATGTAGATGGCGCAGCCCATGATGATTGGAAAGCTTAACATATGGATGTTTAATTAAGCAGTCACATGCAGGACATGACAATTCCTTGGGTGAGAACCAGAGCCTAATGTGTCAGATATGCATGTATGAAAGCCTCCTTGAATAGCAGAGAATGCCCAAGATCTGCCCCTGCATTCCCTTGAGGGCGGCCCTATCTACAGGGGCAATAGCTGTAGATATAAAGAGAACCCCACACAAATAAGGCCACAACATGTACCTGTCCAATGAAAATATCTCAAAGTTAACTCGGTCAACAAATGCTTGATGAAGTCAGATGTGTTGGCCAAAAGACAAAAATATTGCAGTCTGCTGTAAACAGGCACACACATTTATGTCACTCAGATGAACGAAATGAAGACAAAGAAGATAATGAAGGATGTCTGCATGTGTGTGTGCGTGCGCATTCACGCGCGTGCATGTGCATGTTTTTTTCTTTATCACAGAAACAACAAAAATGAAAAACCATCTTAAATGCATAAATACTAAGAAAAGTTGACTTGCCTCCACTTTAAGGGCTACAGTTTTCAGCTCGTCAGAATGACTAGAACTCATAAACAGTAGAACGTTGCACCTTTTGCCCCATGTAGCTTTCACATGGATGGCTTTTGTATGAATGTTACTGGGGTTTGTCATCACCCAGCACAGCACACGGACTTTGTTGTACAGAAGCTGGGCCACGGTGTTGTTTTCATCTACAAAAGTGTTGAAAAATGTTTGGGGAAATAATTTCATGGAACAAAAGGAACACGTGGAGATGTTAGTTTTTGTACCTCATGGCAACACACTTTTAGTCTTATGGAAGTGAACAATGCAGCTTTAACCCTTTTACCTAGCGAATGCTAATAAAACACGTGGGTCATGAATCTATAGGCATTTTTTGAAAAACTCCTAATAAAGGTCACTAATAAATAGTTCTACAATTTATTTATCTACATATGTTCAAACATTGTTTATGTTTATTCAACGGATCAACATCATGGCACACAGGTGTAACCCATAAGTTCTTTTTTTAACTAGAGCCTGAGTCTGAAGAATCTCAGCGCAGTGCACAAATTCTGTTGCACCGGCGAGGATCCTGAATTACTTTTTGGGTATATTTTTAACTCCAAATTTTACCCAGGCAGCGCCGTTAGGCTACTCTTTTTTATTTCTAACTGCCAAGGGATTTTTTACATGCGCAACAATACACATGGGCGTCCGGTCTTACTACCCAGAGACCGGGGGGCATTTCTATAAGTCCACGTAAAAAAATCCCAGCCTTCGCCAGGGCTTGAACCCGAGACCTCTAGCACTTGAGGCAGACACCTTGCCCCGAGACCACTCAGCCTCCTCTATGTTTAAACAAAAAAGGCAGAATATTTAAAGATACATTAAGGGGTAATCAATAAACATGAATAGAGTGAAACATTAAAAGGAATACATTTAGTGGGGCATAAAGAAATGAAATATATCAGTTGACTCCTGCAGTGACCTTATGACCTTTATCATTGAGGCTTATGGGGAAAATGTTACATCAACCTAGCTTTCAAAAGGCCATTGGGGTCATAAGGAAAGCCCCATAAATGCACTGCAAAGTCAGAAATTCAACAACTGATTTATGACAATTCCTGTCAAGGTAACATAACTGTCTATACAGAAGCCTCTGTGTTAAGAGGGAAAACAAGTGCAGGGGAGTTATAGCAAAAGTGCAACAAAGCCTGGTATATGATACTATAAAATCTAGTTTGAGAATGAAGGTGGAGGCAGGCATCGTTTGCTGCCCTGAGAACCATCTGCACACACATATCGTGGTTATAACTGACTCACAGAACACGTTTAGAAAGGGTGAAACAGTCATGCTCCGTGCAGACTGGCAAGCATCGCTGCAGAGATCCCGGATAATAAATGTTTTTTGGATATTTTTTCAAAGGAATGTATGTGGGGAAATGAACTGGCAGCTAGACTGGCTGGTTCTGTACCACTTGGCGGTAAACTAATACATGACAAGCTAGATGCTGTAAAGGTGTGACAAGCTAGATGCTGTAAAGGCCAGACAGGCTAGATGCTGTAAAGGTGTGACAAGCTAGATGCTGTAAAGGCATGACAAGCTAAATGCTGTAAAGGCATGACAAGCTAGATGCTGTAAGGGCATGACAAGCTAGATGCTGTAAAGGCATGACAAGCTAGATGCTGTAAAGGCATGACAAGCTAGATGCTGTAAGGGCATGACAAGCTAGATGCTGTAAAGGCATGACAAGCTAGATGCTGTAAAAGCATGACAAGCTAGATGCTGTAAAGGCCAGACAAGCTAGATGCTGTAAAGGTGTGACAAGCTAGATGCTGTAAAGGTGTGACAAGCTAGATACTGTAAAGGCGTGACAAGCTAGATGCTGTAAAGGCATGACAAGCTAGATGCTGTAAAGGCCAGACAAGCTAGATGCTGTAAAGGCCAGACAAGCTAGATGCTGTAAAGGTGTGACAAGCTAGATGCTGTAAAGGCATGACAAGCTAGATGCTGTAAAGGCCAGACAAGCTGTGCTGTAAAGGCATGACAAGCTAGATGCTGGCCAGACAAGCTAGATGCTGTAAAGGCCAGACAATCTAGATGCTGTAAAGGCCAGACATAGACAAGGGCTGACAAGCTAGATGCTGTAAAGGCATGACATGACTGTAAAGGCGTGACAAGAGATGCTGTAAAGGCATGACATAGATGCAAGCATGACAGGCTAGATGCTGTAAAGGCATGACAAGCTAGATGCTGTAAAGGCCAGACAGGCTAGATGCTGTAAAGGCCAGACAGGCTAGATGCTGTAAAGGCCAGACAGGCTAGATGCTGTAAAGGCCAGACAAGCTAGATGCTGTAAAGGCCAGACAAGCTAGATGCTGTAAAGGCCAGACAAGCTAGACGCTGTAAAGGCATGACAAGCTAGATGCTGTAAAGGCCAGACAAGCTAGATGCTGTAAAGGCCAGACAAGCTAGATGCTGTAAAGGCATGACAAGCTAGATGCTGTAAAGGCATGACAAGCTAGATGCTGTAAAGGTGTGACAAGCTAGATGCTGTAAAGGTGTGACAAGCTAGATGCTGTAAAGGCATGACAAGCTAGATGCTGTAAAGGCCAGACAAGCTAGATGCTGTAAAGGCATGACAGGCTAGATGCTGTAAAGGCCAGACAAGCTAGATGCTGTAAAGGCCAGACAGGCTAAATGCTGTAAAGGCATGACAAGCTAGATGCTGTAAAGGCCAGACAGGCTAGATGCTGTAAAGGTCAGACAAGCTAGATGCTGTAAAGGCCAGACAGGCTAGATGCTGTAAAGGCCAGACAGGCTAGATGCTGTAAAGGCCAGACAGGCTAGATGCTGTAAAGGCCAGACAAGCTAGATGCTGTAAAGGCATGACAAGCTAGATGCTGTAAAGGCCAGACAAGCTAGATGCTGTAAAGGCCAGACAAGCTAGATGCTGTAAAGGCATGACAAGCTAGATGCTGTAAAGGCCAGACAGGCTAGATGCTGTAAAGGCATGACAAGCTAGATGCTGTAAAGGCATGACAGGCTAGATGCTGTAAAGGCATGACAAGCTAGATGCTGTAAAGGCCAGACAAGCTAGATGCTGTAAGGGCGTGACAAGCTAGATGCTGTAAAGGCATGACAAGCTAGATGCTGTAAAGGCATGACAAGCTAGATGCTGTAAAGGCGTGACAAGCTAGATGCTGTAAAGGCCAGACAGGCTAGATGCTGTAAAGGCCAGACAGGCTAGATGCTGTAAAGGCCAGACAAGCTAGATGCTGTAAAGGCATGACATGCTAGATGCTGTAAAGGCATGACAGGCTAGATGCTGTAAAGGCCAGACAAGCTAGATGCTGTAAAGGCATGACAAGCTAGATGCTGTAAAGGTGTGACAAGCTAGATGCTGTAAAGGTGTGACAAGCTAGATGCTGTAAAGGTGTGACAAGCTAGATGCTGTAAAGGCATGACAAGCTAGATGCTGTAAAGGCCAGACAAGCTAGATGCTGTAAAGGCCAGACAGGCTAGATGCTGTAAAGGCATGACAGGCTAGATGCTGTAAAGGCATGACAGGCTAGATGCTGTAAAGGCATGACAGGCTAGATGCTGTAAAGGCCAGACAAGCTAGATGCTGTAAAGGCGTGACAAGCTAGATGCTGTGAAGGCATGACAAGCTAGATGCTGTAAAGGCATGACAGGCTAGATGCTGTAAAGGCCAGACAAGCTAGATGCTGTAAAGGCATGACAAGCTAGATGCTGTAAAGGTGTGACAAGCTAGATGCTGTAAAGGCCAGACAGGCTAGATGCTGTAAAGGCATGACAGGCTAGATGCTGTAAAGGCATGACAGGCTAGATGCTGTAAAGGCATGACAGGCTAGATGCTGTAAAGGCCAGACAGGCTAGATGCTGTAAAGACGTAACAAGCTAGATGCTGTAAAGGTCTTTTAGGGGTGAGTGAACAGTGCAGAGGCACAAACAGATCATTAAAGTCTGAAGAATAGTGAACCGGGGAGATACCACAGAATCTTGCCGATGCTCAACACTCAGGGAAAAGACAAGATAAATGTATAATCGGACTATTACTTTTGGAATTTGAACTTCTGCGCTTGCTACTGAAGACTGGGACAAAGCGCTTATAGGAAAATCCAGAGAGCAATGAAGACGGTTCTTAATTCTCAACATAACAGAAGAATGGGACAGAAAAAGTAAAGAAATGTGAGCTAGATAAAGAGTAACTTATTGTGAGTTCCCTAGTACTGAAAGTGTTAATAATTCCAAAGTACATGTTCACTTAATGCACTAACTTGCAAGAATTAGGAAACATAGTGACTGGCGCTACAGCCTGTTATGACAGTGGTCTGTATTCATTCCACAGCAGAAACAGGATTATTTTTCAACAAGTATGGGTCTGGGTAGCCAAGACCAAAAGAAATAGGTACCAATAGTAGCAGGACTCATCATCATCAAATGCCTTTGCTAGATTGCTTAGGCGTTCATGCATCTCCACAGATCTCAGACTTTGGTATCCTGGATCAATTCCACTGATGATATTCCTCCATGCCACTGTCTTAAGCCATCCACCATCATTTCTCTTAGTTTGCCTCTGCCTCTTCAACCAGTGATCTTTCCTGTCGTCACAATATTTTCCAGTGCTCTTTTTCTCATCACATGACAAAAGAGTACTACTAACTTGGCTTTTGTCTAGATAAAAACTGGCAGTACCCACACAAAGAGTCTCTTAAAAAAAAAATTGCCAGTACTTAACACAAAGTGTCTCTTCTTTTTGGTATTCACTGGCAGTAAACTCCAGCTGAAAGTTCTAGTTGCTCATTGACTTCTGGACTTTGGCCTTGTTCCAGAACTTTGAGTTTTGTGTGCACACCCATTTTACTTCTTCTGCGTTTCTAGCTCCCAACAGTAGCATAGGTCCTCAACCAACTCATATCAAGTCGTTCTATCCTTTGCTATCGCATGCAGCTCTCCCCATGTCCTCCCCATCTTTCTAACTTCATTCTCCAGCTCCCTTCTCCATGTATTTTTTGGCCTTATTTTATTCCTATGCCCCTGTGGGTTCCAATGTTCTCCGGTTTTCTCAATGTGTGTCCTATCCAACGCCAGTGTCTTTTCTTTACCTCTTGGTCCCATTTTACAGTTCTAGCTTAATTGTATGAAGACTGCTGGTTACTTACCTCTCATATAAATAGATTTAATTCACAAGAAACACCACTAATTAGTCTATTTTCATGACATGCTTGTTATGAAAAATCAAATTCAAATCTAATTGCAGCAAAAACCAAAATAGTAGCGCTGTGGGATATGCATGTTTGGAGGTAGAGAGTCTACTCCCCCACCCCTTTCCAAATAGGCCCTGAAACCAACTAACACGGGGATTAATAAGACATTATTTGGCTATCTTCTGAATAATGGTCCCAAATTATCGAGGCCGAAAATATACCTTAACAGGGCCTCAGTCACATGTAAATTGTGGACTTCCAGCGACTACCGTCTAGAGTATTTCCTGTGCCGCTACGCGCGTCACTGAGTGGGGCTAAACTTGATGGCTGGGACTCACGAGCAAATATAATGAAGGAAGCTGCAGGAGATGCGGTAGCTGCTGCTTGTGAATCCCAGCCGTCTAGTTTATCCCCGCTCCGCGCATAGCGGCGCAGGAGATACTCTCGGCGGTGGCGGTAGTCGCCGGAGGCCTGCAATTCAAGTCACCAGAAGTCCGCAATTTAGATGTGACAGAGGCCCTGTTAGGGTATATTTTTGGCCTCGATAATTTGGGACCGTTATACGGAGGATAGCCCATTATTTTGTTATTATTAGTGACATAGCCGCCATGGTGAAGAAACTTGATGCTCACCTGTGGATTGGAAGGTCATGGGTACGGATCTTGACAGAAAAAGAATTTTTTCCCCCAAAATAACCTTACCTCCCAAGTCAACTCAGCCTTGAGTGGGTACTAGGTATAGTCTATGGAAGCAGAGGTGACTTGCGTGATGTTGACCACATCCCCCACTGAGTGCCCAATGGTCTAAACACAGGTCTAGCCCTACATGCCAGATAGGCCTGAAAGCGTGGAAAAGGGACTTGTACTTTACTTAGTGTAATAAGTGAAATTTAATAAAACATTTTTAAACTTACTTGAGTGACTGTGTGAATGCTCATCATTCCAAACCAAAGACTGATTGGGCCCTCTGAAGAAATCATTCTCGCCATGACTGTGAGGATTTTGAGGAAAGAATGCAGACGGTATGTACCTGGTCTCCGTTTCTGACGTATACCGTATGATGAACGACACGGAAACTCCAATAAAAATCCCAGCAGCTAAACTGCTAATCTGAGATTTGCCCAGCCCGCTGAAGGCAGGCATCGTTTACTGTTTACCGTAAATAAATGTAATTATGTGCTGTATTTACCGTTAAAAAGCGTAAATTAAATGAAATACTGCCACAACCACCCCAGCTATTGACTCAATTGAGTATTGTTAAATGAATCGTACTAGTACAAATTGTACATTACTGCTAAGTACTGTACGTCGTACTGCTATTATCTATTCTTTTATACTAGACTAATATTAACGAATTTTAACTAGTAACACAGTTTTAATGCATCAAGAAGACACTGTGACTTCTACATAAGAAATTAGACTGATACGATAGCAATCAGATGTTTTGATTAACTGAAACATACAACTGCTTCTGATTCATTTTGCGATCTAAGGGAAAATAACTCCCATGTTCAAGAATTGTTACTTAAAATGTTGCAGGTGACAGACTACACCAAGGTCATCATCATCATGTGCCGTGCCAACTAGCGTGTGATGACAAGTTTTTCCATCTCATGTAATCGCCTACTTGAATGGGTGCCGGGGCTTTGTAACAATCGTGTCGTAAAAGAAGATCAATTAATGGTTGCCTGCAATCAGATGTGTTGCGCAGATTTCACAGCCTAGCTAAACAACACAACGTGATAATCGTGCTAATTTAAAAGCGAACGAAAAGGGAGGATGAGGCGGAGAAGTGGTCACCACAATCACAGATCAAGTCGGTGTTCTTGTGTCGTTCATCCATATGACCAAATCATCGAGATGTTTATCTTATTTTCGCCTTTTCCTTGCGCGTTTTCCACAATCCTTGCCAGTCATCACCAGATCAGTCCTGTCTCTCATATCATGTCCGAAAAACACCGGCCACATACGTCTAAGTTCTCTGATCAGTCTACGGTTTTCATTTGTCTCCAGAGTGACTGGGTAGAAGAATAGAAGTAACGCACCTTCTTTCCTACACTAACAGAATACCCTTGGGCGAGGTGAAGTACTAGTCTAGCTCCTTTCAGGGTAATGTGAAATTATGGGCGCAGGTGGTGAACTGTTCTTGAGAGCAGCTGACACATAGTTGTTTATGGTCTCATGTCTCCCGACTGCATTTGGAGGCTCACACTATAGTTACAATGGCTACGGTCACCCGAGCAGTATGACCACTGCCAAGAAGGAAAGCAATAATAAACTACCTTCTTAAAAATGCAGAGAAACATCGTATTTCACTATTACATTTCAACTTCACTTTAAAAAGTACCCTTAAAATATGTTCAAATCTTAACCCACACAGTGCTGCGTGTTGCAAAAGCTTATTGTAGCCGTTAGGCGGCCATAATTATAATTGTTTTTGGGGGTATTGAGCAGGGTACCTGGGGCTTTCTCTATTGACCTGACCCCTTGGATTAAGACTCGTGGAATCTCAGAGTGTGATTAAATTTTCATGTAGCAAGCCGGAGGGACAGAACAGACAGACAGAACATTACCAAACAAAATGAGAAAATACCAGCATTTTGTAGAGCAACGTAATAATATCCTGATCACTTTCAACATTCCTAACGATAAATTACACGGTCTTATCACAATTTCTTTAATCCAACGATTATTTTGTCACCTCCGGGTTGTTGCGTAAATGTTTACCATACCATCCTAAGATTTAAATTCTCAATATGGATGGCAACCAACAAGGCAGATCACAGACAGCCTGTTGAACCTCCGAAGAAGTTATAATTATGGTACCTATAATAGCTATTCCAGCCAGGTATCATCTGCAGTCCTAAGCGGGTAAGGGCATAAATTATTTGTCTTTTCCTTAGGATGTTTCTAAAATCTAACATTGTCAGGTCATTCCATACAAAGATATTACGGCTTGTTTGATATTTGCTGTGTGAAAATTCTCTGCAATGTTTGATGACATCTATCGGTAGCTTTTTCTTGAGAGGACTAAGCAAAGACAGAACGCAGTTTCGTTCCTATTTTGTGACTCATACAAGTTCGTATTCTAAACAGAGGTCGTATTCAAAGCAAACGTTTTCGCGTCTGAACAGGAAGTTTACCATGTTGAACGTATGCCAGAGCGAACGTATACTGAGGTTCCACTGTGGATTATATGTTAACTATTATTATGTGTGCCTGTGGTAAACTAGTCTACTGTCAGCAGTTTATTTGAAGATGATTGACTTATAAGAAAAAGGTATGGGGAAAAAAGAGTATCGTTGTGTCGAGTTTTAATTTAAATTATCTTCACAGCACTCCAGACACATCCATAGGTGCTCAGATTCCCCTCTCAGCGTATTCATCAGCATCGTGCAGTAAATAGAACCAGTCCTACGTTGGGTAACAAGACTTCGTGTGCGTCCGGTGTGCTTCTCGTGCTTGGCTGTGCCGATCTTTACTCCCAGTTCGCGTATTCTTAGCAGTGATGTGGACACGTTGCTTCCAAAATCCTCAGAACGTCCTATCTCTCTAAGGGCAATGACAATGTCGGCGTGATCCATGCGCCGGCCATCTTCAATTAATGCAGCACCTGCCAGTCTATCAGCTCTCTCATTACCAACAACGCCTACATACCCTGGGAAGAATGTGAAGGTCACTGCACATACAGGAGAGTTTTGCAAAGACTCAAACCACTGTCTGCGTAACCAGCCTGCCCCGGCCCGCCGGATCATGCTCAAAGAATCACTTAGCACACACACGCAGGAATAGTCCTGTGATCCCAGCCACATGAAAGTCTGTGTCACCGTCATCACCTCCATCGTCATGTTGCTGGTGGTCGTGGAGAAGGCACCGCTGGTTTCCTGAACTGTTCTGCCTAAAGAGCGAACTGTAAATGCCCATGCACTCTTATGTCCTCGTATAACGGACTCGTCGGTGAAGATCACCACATCTGTCTCATCTGACGTCACTGATAAGCGCGCATACCTCGGCATTGACAACAGCAGGATTTTGCTCCCAATTCCTATCGAGCGTCACGACACAGGAGAATGTGAGATTGGGCGCTTTAGACGCTGGCATCCATTCCTCATCTGGATGGATGTCTGTAAGGCTGCAAACCTGCATGATGTCATCCTCTGCCCTACCCAGCCATGACTTGCCCCTTTTAAGCCTATTGCCCTTTTTCTTGAAAAGCATGTGGTGCAAAGGGTGCTTCATATCTGAGCTTATCTTGTGGTATGCACGAGCCTTCCAGATCTTGATCCTGTAGTTCATGGTAGGGAAGTCAAGAAGGCACCTCATTGCTACACATGAGGTGTCTCCAGTGCACCCTAGAATCATGCGCATTGCTTCATTTTGCACCTTCTCAAGTCTTTCATCTGAGTATGGTTGACAGCGAGGATGGCAAGAGCATATTTGATTGGAGAAAGTACAAGTCCCTGGAACAGAGGCAGAAGCAGTTTCTGCTCAGTGTTAGCGGCGGCCAGGACCCTCATTGCTGACAGGCCTTTGCGTGCTTTTGTTCTTTGAAGGAAAGGCTGCGATCAAACATCACTCCGAGGTATGTCATCAGATTTGTTCTCGTCAAAATTTCCTCGCTGCTTTCCACTGCTGATCAGTCTGCCTTTACTATATGATGATGATGATGATGACGAGGGGCACCTAATCATGTTACCCAGGAAACAGGACCATTTATGTCCCCTCTGTAAACAACCAGGCTTTCGTGTTCTCACAGATACCATGCAAATTGCAAATGCAGCAGCGAGTATTAATCCCATAGCTCTGTTGCCAATCTGTCCAGAAGAAATATTAACTCTGTTTTAATGTAGTGCCTAGAGTTATCAGTTTTCTTATGTAAAATGCCGCGTACGTTTCAGTCATCAGAGATGGAGGGATTCTATGGTACCTTGTGTAAGGATTACGATTTATTATTTTTATTCACAACAACACAGTTATTATTTCTTCCTTCCTTTTTTAAATTTACGTATGTAAAGTAGTATGCTTATTTATTGTTTAAGATATTTTTATCATTCCCACCCCCTGTCTTCGCTTTCGCTTAAAAAGGTATCATTCTCGGTTCAGACACTCCGTTAAGTGTAATCACTAATAATTGTGCAAAGGGTCTGTAAAATTTCTGAACTGTTTTTAGCGCGAGGGGGAAACGGCTCGGACAATTTAAGTCAAGTCAAGTTGCAACTGGCATCTTCTGTATGGAAACCTTTCGTTGGCTACTGAAGAAGGGGACTGCGTATGTGTGAGATAATAAAAAGGACAGAAATGGAAGATTGAAAGAAATTTAAAAACAAAAGTATACATAAATCAGAGCACTTACTTATTTATAGTCATGTCTAAAGTGTGTTGAAGATGTTTTTATGTGAATTTATACTTTTAAAAGTGATTCATTATCATTATGGTAAAATATTTAAGGTAACTCATATTTAAAGTAGCTTTTCATTTTTCAAATACATAATTGTTATTTTCAGACGAACTTGTTTGTCCAATGATGGCATCAGACAGCTGGTAAATAATATTCACTACTTTTATTTTTTTTAATGTACATTAATGGACTGAAGTAGACAACAGTACTGAACGTAATTACTGAGGAAAACTCTTTAAATCGGTACTCCTGTCAAATCCGGACGAAGACTAAAAAGCCTTGGACGACTTAGTCAAAGTTCTCTCCCTTGGCCGCACTGCAAACAGTGATCGGAAAAGCCAACGAAACAAAGAAGACAGTCACGTCGACATCAGGGCTGAAAATGCTTGGTTGTTTCCCCCAAATCTGGTTTTTTTTCGACGCTGCAGGACAATTCTGGTTTTTTTTGGGTGTGTTTTGTTTGTTGGTTTTTGCCGATTTGTATGCTTTAATGATCGATAAATTTGCGTGGTTAGGGGTAGGGGTTAGGGCTAGGGAGTAGGATTAGGATTAGGGTTAGCGGTAGGGTTAGGTTTAGCGTTAGATTTGACA